ATGTGCTTGGAAGAAATGTTCTTGAAAAACTTACCATCCATAGACAAGTAGAAGAAAAAGAAATAGAGGTAGATCTCCCACACGATACACGGACCAATGGTGCTCCATTGTCAGAATGTGCTAGAATAGCAGAAGATAGAAAAACGTGGAGGAACATTGGGAAATTTAGCTAATAGCTTCATGATATCACGATACCTGCATCAGGTTAACGACTAAGAAGAAGGTTGGGTCCAAAGAGATATAATACAAGATTGACCAGCCCATTCTCCCAGTGCAACAGAGAAAATTTGAGGCAAAGCATTTCCTGCTTCTCCTTCTAATGAGCCACGTTTATTGACCACGTGACCTTCTCATTTGTCACGGGATCGAAAAATCCATCAAATAAGAAAAAGAAATGCAGGCACTGTTTAGAGTCAGTTTTCTCTGTCACGCTGGCAGAACGAGTCTGTACAGTAGCGCTCAGTTTATTTGTCTTATATGTCTATGGGGACTAATGTTAAAGGATCAAGACAACAGGAAGCATAGAAAAAAATTAAAACATTAGAAATAGTAACCGAAGTAAAATTTCCGAAGTTGAGAAAGCATTACACAAAATCATTACCGAGAATAGATCGAAGTATACCTCACAAGACCCTGCGACAATAGTAATAAAGGAAAGCATTAAAAAAGTTAATAACAACAAAGAACCAGGACTAGGGAAAATAAAAATAGAACTGCTGAAAGATGTGTCGATTTTACGAGTATTATAGTTACAGGAGAAGAGATTCCAGATGAGTGGAATCAATTATACATCCATTTTTATTGATTCAATATAACAATCTCATCTAAAAAACTAAAATAGTAGAAATAAACAAAGAAGTAGCCAGTAGTAAAATAGAAATTATTAACATCAGTATTAAACAAATATTGGAAATAAAATACCTGGGAATTACACTATCCAGCTATAAAGACCTGGACAAAGAAGTGAAAGATCAAATACAAAAAGCAAATAGGCTAGCAGGATGCCTTAATAAAACTTTATGGCGAAACAGACAAATTAACACTGAGATGAAGTTTAAGCCAGTGTAAGACCAATATTGAAATATGTCTCAGAAAGAAGACTTGATATAGCTACAACGCAAAGGCTAATGAAAACGGCAGAGGTGATAGTACTAAGAAAAATTACAGATCGCTAATAGATCAAAAGAAAAGTGAAAACATTAAAAGAAAATGTAAAGTACAGTATATAAATAATTGAACACAAAATAGAAAAAAAGAATGCATCACCAGATAAACCTACAAACAACCTACGTTTCGCAGATGACACAGCCCTTCTTGCAAATAGTCAAGCAGAGCTGATGGAACTTATACGACTGATCGAAAACGAAAGTCAAATATTTGGTCTGCAATTAAACATATCAAAGACAAAGATCATGATAGTGGATAGACTAAACAACAATCATCCACACATAAACCACAATTGACAGGTTCGAGGTTGTGAGCTCATACTTATATCTGGGATCATTAATCACAAACACAGGGTCATTACAAGAAGAGATTAAACATAGAGACAATCGGAGAGAAGAAAGATAGACGCCACTGAAATGTTCTGTTGGAGACGAATGTTACGAATTCCTTGGACCGACCGTAGAACAAATAATTCAATTTTAAGAGAGCTAAAAGTTAGCCAACGACTGTCTAGTAAAGTCCATCTCCAACAATTAAAATGTTTTGGGCATGTTGTGAGATCAAACACAGAAAACATGGAAAGACTCATAATACAAGGAAAGGTAGAAGGCCGAAGATCACGAGGAAGATCCCCAACAAGATGGATAGATCAAATTACAGGAATATGCCAAAGACCTATGTATGAATTAAAAGAAATGACCAGAGACAGAGATCTCTGGAGACGAACAATACACGACATCACGTCGACCACTACACTCCCCTTGGGGGGTCATTATTGAAGAGAGAGAACCAGATAAACAGAATGGAGTAGACCCGTGTCATCAAAATAGCAAAAGATAAGTCACCAATTGACAAAAGAAGTAATGGACAACCGCGCAAAAGATGGATGAAGTGCAGAATGAATTGATTATAAAAAGAAAGAAAAAAAAGAAGAAGACATGCTTAATTTACAAAAAAAGTGGTTAAATGTCAACAAATAACTATAGAGGGATCAGTGTAATGCCTTTAATAGCAAAAATCTTTTCGTATAAAGTAGGCATATACAACAGAAATCAAAAGATCCTTACAAAGAACAGAAGAACTGGAGCTAATTTAGAGAGCTCTGTTACATAAAGGATGTCCTACAATAAGAAACACAAAAAATACATATCATCAGGCACAAGCAACGACATTTTTATTTCTAAAAATGACACGAGAAGTTCACCGTGATTCGGAAGGCACGTAAGACCGTCGGTCCCCTTTTGCTAGTGTGCATCAAGACTAAGTAGCTACTTGAACCGGGGTTAAAGATGCAATTGGTGCCGAAATAATTCAAACAGATCTTCCTGGAAAAATGCCATAAGATATTATTATTATTAATACGACTTCAACCTTAACATGAAACAATAAGTGCCGGTTGTTCGAACGCTAATCAAAACTTGATTTTAATCAAATATTTCAATAATATCAAATACGTCTCATTTTAAAGTTATGTTGACTGATTTATTTTATACAATTTTATTATTTTGCGTTTTAATTTAAAATAATGGTTTTATTTACAAATTACTACTTTATTTTATTCAATTTTATTATTTTGCGTTTTAATTTAAAATAATGGTTTTATTTATAAATTACTATAATAGCTTTCCAAGGAAAGCTATTATAAAATTAACACATCTTATAAACGCTTCCTTTAGGTTGAGGTACGTACCAAAGATATGGAAGGTGGCAGAAATTATAATGACACTAAAACCAGGAAAACCTCCACAAGAAGCTTCTTCATATAGGCCTATTTCACTGTTACCTGTCATGTCTAAATTATACGAAAAAATTACTCTTGAAGAGACTAAAACCGATTATAGAGGAAAAAAATTTAATTCCTAATTATCAGTTTGGGTTTAGAGCAAGCCACTCAACGATAGATCAGGTGCATAGAATAACAGATATCATAGAAAAAGCTCTAGAAGAAGGAAAAGTTTGTTCCGCAATTTTCCTCGATGTAGCGCAGGCTTTTGACAAGGTGTGGCATGATGGACTATATCATAAAATGAGATGCTACTTACCAAAACAATATTCTGAACTACTAGAATCATATATATTAGACAGATACTTTCGAGTTAAATATGAGGAAGCATATTCAGAATTAAGAGAAGTTAAAGCTGGAGTTCCACAAAGAAGTGTCCTGGGCCAGTGCTATACCTGCTCTATACCAGCGATATTCCATCATTAGAACCTAACACAATTGCGACATTTGCAGACGACACATGCATACTAGCAGTCGGACAAAACCACGAGGATGCAGCTACCATGTTACAGAACTCTGTTGAACAAATTAACATCTGGACCAACCGATGGCGTATCAAATTGAATGAAACAAAATCTGTTCATGTCAATTTTACTAACAAAAGAGAACAACATATCCCAGTACATATAAATAGAAACCAAATACCCTATGCAAATACGGCAAAATATTTATGTATGACGTTAGATTCCAAGCTACGTTGGAAAGCACATGTTAAGAAAAAAAAAGGAAGGAAGGAAGTAGAAATTAAGTTCAGAAAGATGTACTGGTTGATGGGAAAAAAATCCACTCTGTCTATTTACAACAAATTGCTATTATATAAGCAAGTCCTTAAACCGATATGGACATACGGAATACAGCTATGGGGCTGTACAAAAGAAAGCAACATCCAACATATACAACGATATCAGAATAAAGTATTAAGGAACATCGTTAACGCTCCATGGTACTTTAGAAACTGTGATCTTCATCGAGACCTCCAGATGGATACTGTTATTCAGACAATAAGTAAGTTTGCCGAGAGTCATGAACAGAGGCTCTCCAACCACATGAACGTCGAGGCCATCAAACTCCTAGACAACGCCAACCAGATAAGAAGACTAAAGAGAACGAAGCCGTTTGATTTAGTGCTATAAGTGAGTGAAAGTGAAAAAGTAGAGTAAAGTGCGGCTAAAGTGTACACGTTAGCTAGTAGTACTATAATGTATTAGAGCCTAAGGAATATTGCTGAATATAACCTTAGATAAGTTTCTTGTAATATTTATATATAGAACTAACTTGCTTATTGATCATAGTGAATGATCAGATAGCAATAGTCATAAGATTCCTGTTGGAGTTTTATTAAACAAAAAAAAAAAAATTACCAATAATAATAAGCAATTTTTAATACTTTTGATAGCTGCTGTGACGTATTTGTTTCTAATCAAATATTTGATTATAATCAAGTTTTGATTAGCGTTCGAACAACCGGCCCTAACACTACCAGGACCTAACATTTAAAGAAGAAGAACAGCTATTTTGGACCAGTGATGTGTCACAGCTATGTCGTGGACAATATCCTCAACTTTAGCTTAGTTAAGCGATAGGGTGTGCTTAATTTACAAAAGGAGGACTTAAAAAGAGATTACAACCCTTTATATCACCCTGCATATTAAACAGTATCAAATCATTATTATGCTAATGTATGATGAGTTCCATCTCGGGGATATATCAGAAAACAGTCATCATTTAGAAGAAAAGCTCTATTTGCCTAAAACATTAAAATCACTCAGTAAGACTTGATTGTACATTGAGGTACTCACACTCTTAAACATTAAGAAATATGGTATAGATAATCACAATTTTTTAATACTTTAGAGCAAAATAATATTAAAAAAAGAATTTGTCAGTTTTGCCATAAATATTTACAAGGTGTAGACCTAAACGAATCATACCGATTATAAAGTCATCTATTTTTAATTTGAACATAAAAATTATTGAAATATTGACCTCTTTAAAGGTTCTCATTGTAAACCAAACTAAATTTTAAATTGTAAATTCATTAATTACTTACGATGTTTTTGTTCAGGTCTTTAATTTGGTAACACATATTCACACAATTAAAAAGCCAATTGCACGGTGTTAATAATTTCAAATATTGTCACCTACTAACATTGACCACCATTTATCCGAACTTAAAAACTTATAAATGTTTGCAAAAACTTGTTTCAACTGCGTGTAGTACGAAGGTACTACCTACCTATCGTGTGTGTTTGAAATTGATGACCCGACCACCTGATATTTATTATGAAGGTGAATAAAATGGGTTGGATTAAGTACGTGATAGGGAAAGTAAATGTGTTTGGGATTTTTGGATGCAAAACTGGTTGTGTAGGATAGTTTTTTTTGCGGGAAATCCGTCTATTTATTGGACAAGACTTTTGGAATTTTTCGGCGTTGTGTGGTTAAGAATTCCGTTAAATTTTATGCTGGCAGGGGTAGATCAGATCATCTACCTGTTGCGACAGGTAATAAATTACGCCCAAAAAAATTTCAGCAACAAGCTTGACTTATTTGATACTACAGGGTAGGTCATAATAAACTGCACATACTCCAACCTCGTTTGGAGGCGCTTATGGCGAATAATAAATGACCTATGTTACTATTGTTTAATAATATACCTAGCGAGTTGTGAATTTTCAGAGAAATTTCTTTTTGTCATAACTTTTGAACATCTTCTTCTTAGGGTGTCTGTCTATTCTGAACGTTGGCAATCATTCTGGCTATGATGACTTTGTTGGTTGGTAAATAGAATAGAGATTGGACACATTTATGATGCGATGCGATGCGATTCAACCCGACCGTCTCAAGAGAAAAATCAAATTTCTTAGATCTGAGGATCTGCCTAAAGGTGTATAAAACTTGTATTTTATCAATTGGATTCTAAATACGGACAAATATTTAAAGATTTTAGAACAATACCTTTTACCGATTATGGAACAAAGTTTAACAATAACAAGCGGAAGATTTTGTCTTCCAATAGGATGACGCAGGTTACCATACCCCAAAAAGAGTTTAAAATGGACTGAAGACCGTGAGAATGGGTTTCAACTGTCCAGGCTTTACCTGATAAAAACTTTGGTAGCGTGAAATTAATAAAGCATTGAAAAAATTGAAGTAAACATTGCAAGAAATATGGAATTCATTCAGATCAGAATTTTGCTAGAACTTTGGAAAAGTTCGAGACATAGCCGTCATGAGGATACCATGGCGCCCATGCCTCCAACCCAGTTTGTGCAAAGAATATTAAGTTTATTTCAAATTATCTTAAGGATCCTTATAAAAAAGTAATTTTTTAGTTAAAATCTGTAAAAACAAAGCTTTTTACTGTGTTTATTTAGTGGAATTACTAAAGTTTAAATAATTATTAAATAGAAAAAGAAGAAGAAGATCTTTGGATCTAATTAAAAATAATAAAAAGGGTGTAGTGGTGAACTGTTTAATGAATCGTTTTCATTAATTTAATTAATTATAATTCAATAATTTAATTTAATTATGGAAATATAAAATTTTTTTTAGATGAATTAAAACTTAAAGAGCTATAAAATGCAAAGAACACAGACTAAGTTTATTGAGCCATTTGCTTAAGGTGTTTCTTCGCATCCTTTACATAAGAATGTTCAGAAAGCTAAAAGATCTAAGCGGTGAGACACAATTTGGTTTCAAGAGCGGACTGAGTACACGTGAAGCAGCTTTCTGCTTGAATACGCTTGTACAAAACTGCATGGATCAACGAAAGGATATAGTCATAACATTCCTCGATTATGAAAATATATTAGATTATGCAATGATAAAAATGCTACACAACGCTAACATTGACGAGAAAGATATAATAGTTATCCAGAATTTCTATTGGAGTCAAAAAGCACGAATGAGACTGAACAAATCAACCAACACAGAAGAATTTGAAATTTTAAGAAGGGTGCGACAGCGGTGTAGTTTGTCTCCTATGCTTTTCAATCTCTATGTGGAGAACATTTTTGAAGAGGCACTAAAAGGCTCTGAGTGTGGAATAAAGGTAAACGAGTTGCCGATAAATAACATTCGTTACACCGACGACACCGCGATAATAACAGACAACGAAGATGACATGCAGTTGATGTTAAATAAAATAAGCACTGTAAGAAACATATATGGCTCTTTTCTTTGTATCATGGGTGCACTATAGTAAGAAGAAGTGCAGGTGAAAGAAGAAGAAGCATTAAAACTTTTAAAGTTTACGTTGGACTTTTGTTTTTGTTCTCAAAAATTTAATATTCTTTTCAGTCTAACTTGGACCAACTGACATGGGAAGTTACTCGTATCTAGTGACAGTAGTGATTGATCGATTTCATGTGAGAGATGGACTGCATAGGGACGCTATTATAAATCCATATTTAAATTTTCTCATTAGTGTTGGTTTTTTTCGTATTCAATGTAAACTTTTATAATTGACAGAATCAATATTTAAAACTATAGTAAATCCGTTTTGTTATCCTAACAATTCACGTTTTTAATGGGCTTGCATAAGGAAGGACAGTATATAAATTATACGACCTGCTAAAATAAACACTGCACTTGTAATTAAAACGCAATAAAAGCTGCTATAAAAAATATTTAACATACTGTTTGCAATGCTATTATGTAAATCCGAAAAGACGGAATATATATTAAAATATATGAATATTTAACAACATAGGCAGAGAGTTTTTGTATAGGAATAATTTTATTAGGATTAGTAAAATTTTGATTGCTTACTTGATGATGAATTTAGTAAGTATTATTCAGACAAGAGGAAGTATTTAAACTTATTTGTTACAGGAAGAAAGTTTAAGACATATTTGGCAAAAACTTAATTAATTTAATTCTTTAACTTAACAAGTTAGGCCACATGTGCACTACGCTGGTGCACAGCACGTTTTTATCACATACCATGTGTACCAATTTGGCCTCGGTGTGTTATCGTGTTTCAAAGACAGTAGCCACGTGAGAGGGACGCAGTTTTTGTTATATGATAAATTAAAAAGGTCTGGTCTATAAAAAACGGAAATCTGTCTTGGTTCAGTAAAACTTGCCTCCAGTTTTTGTAGGTTAGGATTTCTGTTGACATTTGTATTTCACTGTGGTATTATCGTGTGCGACAACTGTATTTATTTCCTGCAGTAGACAAATACTCATATTTTTATCAAATGAACAAAATATAATTATCAGAAGATGAATTTTGTCAAATACTAGAGGAATCTGATTTCAGTGCATATAATATATCAGATTATGACTGATGCTGATCCTGCTTATCGAGAAGGAAACTGGACCCAGTAATTTTGTTGATAAAGTAGTAATATGTAATTGATTTTGCTCACAGTACAGATTGATGTCTTAATTGTTTTCTTACTTTTTAGAAAGAGGTGACGATGTTAGTAGTCCAAGAAATAAACAAAGTCTAATTTAGTCGATGACTTAGTAATTGGTAAATTGTTATTTTGTATTGAATTATTGATTATTTAAAACCCAGAGAAACAGAAGGAATCGTCCACATAGACGATGTTAATTTAAGAGCAGATAAAATAATGTGGAAAGAAATAGATGGCTCGGAAGAATTACATAAATTTAAATTTACTGATAGTCAAGGATTCAACATTGACGACAAGTAATTACGTGGTCATGAACCGATAGATTTTTACTATTAGTATTTGTTAATAACGAAGTTCAAGATTTGTTAATAACAGAAACATATGGATCAACAGAAATTAGTTGTAACCAATTGTAAATGAAACCATCAAAAATTATTCGATTTTGCGCAAATGACAAGATTCAGATAGAGATGAATTACTTCGTTTTTGACTGTTATAATGTGGATAAAATTAGACAAGAAATCAAAAGAAAAAGAGTTGAGAGACTATTAGAGCAACAATCCCCTTTATAAAAATGCGATTTCTCAAAGTTGCGGCTTTAGCAGAAACCAGTTCAAGGTCATTTGACTTTCACATTTCCGATAATGAAAATATTTTACTAAATAACAGACTATACAAAATCCCACCATTTAAAACAATCTTAAATAGTAAATTTCAGAAAATTTGTATGCATAATGATTCTCTTTGTATTGATAAGACAATGGTGCCTTCTCGTGGAAGGTTAAGTTGTCTTTAATGTATACCTGGAAAAAGGTATAAATATGGGATCAAGCTATTTAATCTTTGTGTATCTGAAGGGTATTCATATGCGTGGAAACATTACGGGAGAAAAGAAATACCATCAGAGAAATTCTTAGCTTCTAGGGTAGTTATGGAACAAAAAGAATGTTAGAAATGACAGAGACGAAAGCAATTAGTAAAATTGATGATAAAGTACTATGGGACAGAGTTAGAAGTACAGATATACAACGTAGATGAAAGGTCGAGAACACCAAGGACTGGATAAGAAATAGAAGAGTAGTAAAGACGGCAAGAGACGGTTCCCCAATAGGAGGTCGATCAGTAGGAAGACCATGAAAATGATGGACCGACAACTTACTGAAGGCGCATTAAAAAACACAGAGTCATGTCTACTAAAAAAGAAGAAAAAGAATTATCTAGAAAAACAATCCGCGAAACCAGATATAAATGAAAAAATGAGAGAACATTTGAGAACTGAAAAAGCATTTTATGAAGCACTAGACAAGAAAAAGAAAACACGAAGCAGAAAACGATTAAGACAGTGGAACCAACACAATAATACTGTAAAACAAATCAGCAATTATATAAAATATTTATCAGTTAAATTAAAAATGATTTACATTAAAAAAAAACTTTTGCGATATACCTATTCCTAAATCTTGTTGAAGCAATTTCAAAAATGTTATAAAACAGAGTAATACGTATATGTACAAAGAATACCAGAGCACCGGCGCGCGGCTGAAAAACAACATTGTACTGGAACCCGCCTTGAAGACGAAGGGGAAGACCTGCTATACGATGAAAAACGTAAATAAGAAATAGTTTGATAGATAGAGACCCCAAAGACAGTGGCTGGGAGAATATATTGCTGTAGAGGTCGAAAACGGGGAACTATGGGAAAAATCCGAAGAAGAAGAAGAAAAATCATTTTAGAGGGCCAAATTGGTGGTCGACAACGAAACTCATGCTTCAGAGACATAAGAAACTGGTGCGACATACCTGATTTCAGTATAACAGGATCTAATAAGTACAGCATCAGGACAAGAAAAAGAGGACAAAATGGTATGTAA